ACAGCACAATGAAATGTACATTAATTTACCTGTTGAAACCAATCGTTGGTGATCAAATTAGTTTGAGTATGAGTATGGACTAAAATATCAACAATAAGCATAAAAGATAATGACTTATAGGTTTTAAACAAAAAATATTAACAAGTGAAATATGTTTTTCTAACAATTGTAAAAGAAACAAATTTGAGTCGTTCCACGCTTTGGTGTAAACATTGGAAACAAGGACAGGTTAAAGCGCTCGTCATGAATATTTAAATATAGTTTTGGCTCTACTATTTAAATATTCATGAGGAAAATTGATATTGGGTCAGTGACTGTATATGACATAGAAATATACAGTCAACGCATTTTGACTGCTCAAATAGAACGAGTGCAGTATAAATACTTGTAAAAATGCATGCTCCTTTTCCTCAATCTAACTGTCAGTTTTTACTGCTTATTTTGATAAAGCATATTTTAAAATAATTTGTAGGACAAAACCTTAAAGTAAATCATTCATAAAATAAAGAAGTCAAATCATGTAACTTATATAATTGTTTACATTTGTCTTAATGATAGAGTAGTTAATGGATATTTAATTACAAGAAAATTCCAAGGGGTAATTTTAAAGATTTAGGGCAATAAAGTTACTGGCCTTGCTAACAGCTAAAATTAATTCATAGTAAAAAGGTATAAATAATTTATATAAGCAAATTGTAGAAAATGTTGTTATTTAGTGGTGAATTCAGATAACCTGTATTTGAAGATCATAGAAAACATGAAAACTTAAGGATTTTCACTCCTCTGTTTCAAAATTACAAGCTTTTTAAAAGACTTTGATTTATAAATTGATACTATACATGTATATAAACAAGCATTCTGTGAGTATTGCCTGGCAATACATAGTCCCCTACCGGTTGAAAATTCCTTGTACTGGAACAAAATGCTAACTTGATCTATAACTTGTCATGGTGTAAACTATATAACAAATATCAAGTCAATATCTTCAAGCATGACAAAAAAAAATGTGGAAAATTGAATATTTGAGTGAATTTTCCAAGTCCAAGGACCATAACTCTGCACAAAATCGTCAGATTGGAACAAACTTCGAACTTGATCTGTAATTTGTCATGATTAAACAATACACCAAATATCAAATCAATATCTTCAAGCATGAAGAAAAAAGTGTGGAAAACTTATTTGCCGGACTGACGGATGGACAGACAGACAGACAGACAGACAGACAGACGGAGTGCAAACCTAAAGTCCCCTTCGACTTGTGTTCTTGTTTTTGAGATATTAAAGCAATTGAAAATTTGGCAGGAAATTATTCTCTCTAGAATTTTCATCCTTTTAACACTGGCACCTTTTTTTCTAACATAAACTATGAAAAAATAACAAAGACTTTATAAAATTTTACAAAATGACTTTTTAAACTATATATGTAATAAAATTGTTAAATGAAAAGTAGGGGTACGCAGTCAAATGATTTAATGGCACTCCATGGATACAACTAAAGGATTCCAAATATGACAAAAAGTTAAAGACATGAGTAGCGAACATTCTTAAAAAGGTGATACATGTACTAGACAATTTCAAATCACTAAAATAACTGATCATGTAATCAATTGTTTAAATAAACCCCATGAGTGTCCATAGGTAGTAATGGGTGGAAAATATATGCAGTACTAACAATACAGTTTATTTTTTTATACATTGCAGGGCAAAGCTATTGTACATTTTTTGCGCAGATGGACAAACAACCCTTAAGGATGTTCGCTCCTCATGTTTTTGATATTTTGCCAGATATTCGGAATCCTCTGGTTTTATCCATGTAGTGCCATTACAAATTTTGCCTGCTAACCCCTACTTTTCTTTTCATAATTTTGTTACATATAGTTTAAAAGGCCATTTTTGAAAATCTTATAAAATCCTTGTTATTTTTTCGTGGTTTTTGAAAGAAAAAGGGTGCAAATGTTAAACGTATGAAAAATCTAGAGAGAATTATTTCCCGCCAAATTTTCAATGGCTTATATCTCGAAAACAAGCACACGGACCCTTCATTTTTTTCTGCTCTTCTAGTTTTTTATTTATATACTATAAATTTACAACAGTCTTTTAAAAGGCTTGTTATTGAAACAGAGTAGCGAACATCCTTAAAGCCTATCTATATACCTTTTATTGTAGCTTGTAATTGATAAGGAACAAGCGTAATCATGATTGGTAAGAGTGAAGATTAGGTCAGAAGACAAGGTCATAATGTCGGTGCAATAATTCAGTTTTTATCTTTTGATACAGATCTTGAAACCAAAAATGCAACTCATGTTATTGTCTATTTGACACATTTCCCGTTTCCATTCTCAATTCTATTACCTGGTAATAGAACATTAAACAACAACTACAGTAAGACATCATTAAATTGTCCAGATAGTCAATATTCTGTAGAAAACACTTTTGAATTGGCAAACATTTAGCTAAGTGCTGACAATTTGTTACATTCACCACATTTATAGCACAATATTTGATTGGTTGATGATGATGATGATGGATGGCTGTTTAACATTTGATTGGTTGACTGATGGGGGTACATTCACAAACCTATTCAGGACATATATGTAAAATCTTCTGTTTCTACTATACCGGTAATCAGTTTTTAATCAACTTTTAGCAAGTCATGAAATCTATTTATAGTTTAACAGAAAGCTACATTATTATAATTTTAAAACTGTTATCTGTTTAATATCTGATAAATTTGTGAAAGTTACCGAGATATCTCTTAATCATAAAAAAACTTCTGTCAAAGTTTCATAAAATTCTATAAAAGTTTGGTGTTTCAAAACTTTAACCCTAGACTGTATCTATATGATAATTGCAAACTTAAAAGTCCCTTAACTCTAGAAAAGCAAATCCTAATATTTTCAAAATCGAAATGGAGAATATTCATCAAACCCAACAACAGAAAAAATACAAGTGAACCAACACCTGAAGTGGTGATTGTGCGGTAGGGTTCAAATTTTGTAGTAAGTTGATCCAAGTGTACTATTTTAGTAGTGTGTGACATATATGCATGATATGAAAAACTAAGCTATTACAATAAAAAGAATATTTATCTAACCACATAAATGGATAATGACAAATCTCACTGGCCTTGTTCAGTAGTTAATCGATCTGAAAATAAACCTTGTACTACATAAAAATTCATCAGACTTTCAAAGTTAAGCATGGATCCTATGACTGTGTAATAATTTGTATACCTATTTTTTTTCATAAAATCAAGAACGATTGATAAAAACACTTATCAGAGCATAAAGTCCAAAATAAATTTGTAAAAACAACTATCAAAGTACCTTTGAGTTAATGCATAACATTTGAGGAAAGTGTAATTACTGTTAAACATTAGAAAATTGGTCAGTTGTTCATGAATAAAGTCACATAACTCTGGAATTACAAAAGTGACAATCATGAATAAAGTTTCATTACTCTCGAATGAAGAAAAATAGAAATCTTCAAAATTGAAATGGAGCTATCTTTCATCAATCTTAATGAGGGGTTAAATTTTCCTCAGAATTTGTTAATGCAAAATGAGTAACGATATAAAGTGTAGACATACATATGGATGGACAACTCCATGGACATATCATTTTAAGTCTGAGAGCACTGGGTGTATAAAACTGAAGAAAAAAAACTTTCAAAATTTTGCTCTGTCCTTCAATCATGATAAAGCATCTGTCCAAATTTTGTTTAATATCGATATTATTTGACAATGTTTATGATTATTAATAATGTCTGAAAACTTTAACCATAGACTATATTTAAATTTAATACATAAAATTTAAACTGAAAACAGTCAATTTATCAGTAAAAAAAACTCTCCAAAGATGTCAGGCTTATAATTTTGTACACCAGAAGTGCATTCTATCTAAAAAAAGACCCATCAGTGAGGCAGGAACAAAAAAAGTTAAAAGGTCATATAAAGTACGGAGTTGAAAAGTATATAGGACCCACAATGCTGAAAGGTTTTGCCGAGGTATTCTGTTCCACATATAAAATATGGAAAAATGAAAAAAGTATTTCAAACCTTTACTCTGGATATTGTCTTTTGATGATCATGTAAAAGGTTTGCTCCAATTTCATAAAATTCCATGAAGGTTTGACAAAGAAGTTGAATAGTTGATGTTGCAAAATACTTTAACCACAGACTGAGTGTAGGAGCAGTATGTTTAGCTTCTGTGACTTTCTACTTACCAATATTGATTCCTACTACTATCAGATTTTAAAAGATGACTTTTGTAAAACCCTGATCAAAATTGACCACTAGCAAGAAAATAAGTAAACAGATGAGTGACCTCTGCTATAAAGGGTCATAACTCATAAAACAACTACTGTGGATTTTTTTATTGTTTGTTGGATGCCAATTTTTGTCTGTTTAATTATCACAAATTTTATTATTATACTTCATGTCAATATGCCAGATTTTGATTGGTTAATACGAGGGATACAATTTACTCTATTCTATGGTAAATACTCTATTACCCTTTACGGAGACGCTTGATCAAGTGTGCGCTTTATTAAATACGACTCTATCCTATGGCAAATACTCTATTACCCTTCACGGAGATGCTTGATCAAGTGTGCGCTTTATTAAATACGGATGGTTGTTATGTACAAGACGTCATAGTTTATTACTTTGAATTTGAAATTTAATCGACTGTAATAACAGAACATTCAGTATGATAAATTAAATAACACATTAATAACAGAACATTCAGTATAATAAATTAAATAACACATATCTTCGCCTCAGTTGACAATGTTTTCTTGGGGTAACAATCTGCTCTATCACCCTCTAAGCTATGTGTTATTTATATAATGTTCAACTAAATATAAATTTCTTATAGGATTGTATGCAAACTTTGGCATGACTGTAGAAATCAAGTATCAAAGAAAATATTATTTTTCTTCAATCTCCAAAAATTGGTACTTGTACCCCGTTAATAAATGAATCTACTGTATAAGCCTACCTTCTAAAAGAATTTCAGCTTGTCCTATAGGTATTGTGTAATCCCCTGATGGAACCTCTTCTATAGCAGATCTGTACAATATTTTAGGTTCAAAGAATATACAAGGGTTCTGGTCTCTAATACATGATAATAGTAAACCTTTGGCCTGATGGGGTCCTCTAGGGATCACAACCTACAGAAAAAGGTTAAAGGTTACATAGAATATACAAGAGTTCTGGTCTGTACTACATGCTAATAGTATACCTTTGGCTTGGTGGGGTCCTCTAGAGATCACAACCTACAGAAAAAGGTTAAAGGTTACATAGAATATACAAGGGTTCTGGTCTGTACTACATGCTAATAGTAAACCTTTGGCTTGGTGGGGTCCTCTAGGGATCACAACCTATAGAAAAAGGTTAAAGATTACATAAAATATACAAGGGTTCTGGTCTCTAATTATAATACATGATATTAGTAAATCTTTGGCTTGGTGAGGTCCTCTAATGATCACGACCTATAGAAAAAGGTTTAAGGTAGCAAAAATTTACAGTGAAAGCTTTTTGCATTTTCATGTTTGCTGGAATCTTGGTTCTGCTTATGTTACAATTAAAATATGACATCTAATACAGTCGACCCCACTTAAGCGCATACTGCTTAATTGCATAATTTGGTTAATTGCATAATTTTCTCCTGCACAAAACCATTTCCCTTTCATCTACTGTTAAATTATCCGGTTATCTGAATAGCCTAACAAGTGGCCTTTTGGTTAATTGCATAGAAAATAATCGCCAGCTAGATATGCTTAGTTAAAACTCCTATAAATTGTGAAAAACATGATATAATTTTTTTGGGAGCAATCAAAGGGAGGGGTGACCTGTGTATACCCTCTACACCCCCTGGATCTGCCACTGATTTTTATGCATTATTATCTGCTTTTAATACCATATCATACGTCTTTAAAGCAGATAATAATGCATCAAAATCAGTGGCAGATCCAGGGGGCGTAGAGGGTATACCCGGGTAACCCCTCCCTTTGATTGCTCCCAAAATAAAATTATATCATGTTTTTCACAATTCATAGGATTTTTCAGAATAAAATCATCCAAAACATTTTGTATATAATCCAATTTATGGAATAATGCCCCTTTTCAAAAATCCTGGATCCGCCCCTGAAAATCAAGTATTTAAAAAACTAGGTTTTCTGCTTATAGCTAAAAAAAAATAAGCACATAGGGAACCCCAATTTTTTTCTTTTGAAATTTCGCATGAACTGCTTCAATAATGTTATATCAAAATTGCAAGAAAAATTCAACAGTAGATGTTTAACTGTATGCATTTGTAGTAGCAAGAATATTGTCAACAGCATTATATTAACAATAACTGTATATTCAACATATTGTTATCACATTTGACCTTATTTTAGGGACTTACCTGAAGGCATTAAACCATCTATGGACTTTTTAAATAAACTGTTGACACAGAGATATGTCTCGCCTGTCAGCATAAAATTCAGAAAAAGACGATCTGATGGGTAGCAACATTGCTAATTAATTCAAAGTCACTGGACCAGCTAGTGGATAGGGCCTCAAAATGGTTGACAAACTGAGATGTACAGACAGCAATGTAACTTTTAGAAAATATTGTCTATTATAAGTAGTTCCTATCAAACTAACTTAACCAGAAAACTTAACATTGAAAATTGTTAATTGATTAAAAGTCACTGACCTTGAAATAGTCATCAAACTAATATGTACTGATAGTAATGCAACTTTATAGAAAATATCATTGATCTATCGCATGTAGTTCATATCAAACTAACTTAATTAGAAAACTTAACATTGAAAATGGCTAATTAATTGAAAGTCACTGGACCATGGCCTAGGGCGCAGGGCCTCAAAATAGTCATCAAACTGATATGTACTGATAGCAATGCAACTTCACACAAAATATCATTGATATATCATCAGTAGTTCCTAGCAATCTAACTTAAGCAGAAAACTTAACAATGAAAATGGCTTAACAATTCAAAGTCATTGGAACATGGCCTAGGGGGCAGGGCCTCAAAATAGTTTTCAAACTGATATGTACTGACAGTTATGCAACTTCAAACAAAATATCATTGATCTATCACAAGTAGTTTCTATCCAAATAACTTAAGCAGAAAACTTAACAATGAAAATGGCTAAACAATTCAAAGTCATTGGACCATGGCCTAGGGGGCAGGGCCTCAAAATAGTTGTCAAACTGATATGTACTGACAGTTATGCAACTTCATACAAAATATCAATGATCTATCACAAGTAGTTTCTATTAAACTAACTTAAGCAGAAAACTTAACAATTGTTGACGGCGTCACAGCAGTCGTTGCCAAAAAAACAATCCCTATGTCTCGCTTTCCGCGAATTTTGTCGCAGGCGAGACAAAAAGGGAGACTATATCTATTACTATTTGAAAGTAGTGCTTCATCTCAAAATAACCATTTAATCTTATTTCTACTTGGAGATATATGTACAGTTTAAGGAGGTCAAATAAAAGTTTTTCTGCATAAATATTGCTTTTTTTTAAGATTTAAGTGCCATAACTCTGTAACCACAAAAGTGAAAATGGTCAAAGTATAGACACTCTGACCAACATTCACCCATTGGGAAATTTAACGTAAATGGCTCTACTCGACTTAATGCATAACAAGAATGTGTCCAAAGTACACGGATGCCCCACTCATACTATCATTTCCTATGTTCAGTGGACCGTGAAATTGGGGTCAAAACTCTAATTTGGCATTAAAATTAGAAAGATCATATCATAGGGAACATGTGTTGTAAGTTTCAAGTTGATTGGACTTCAACTTCATCAAAAACTACTGTGACCAAAAACTTTAACCTGAAGCGGGACAGACGGATGGGTGGATGAACAGACGGACAAACGAACGGACACACAGACCGAAAAACATAATGCCCCTCTACTACCGTAGGTGGGGCATAAAAAGATGGTCAATTGTATACCATAATATATTGGTCAACAACAATGGAATAAAAAGAAAGACTCAACAATTCACAGCTCCACAACATATCAATCTATAGATAAATAGCTTACTTTTATACCAGGTATATGAGCAAAGAAAGCTTCAGGACTTTGTGAGTGATACAATGCTCCATGTCCTACAGCTCCTGTTGGGGCTCTGATTGTAAGTTTTCCACAGTCATATATATTACCCGTCCTATAACGGAACTTTGCAGCTTCATTTGTTATCTGAAAAAAAATATGCAAATATGACAAAGAAAAACCTAATAAAAACCTTAACAGATGTTAAATATGAGTCAGTTGTTTTTTCTTCCATCAAACATGCAATTTTCAAATGAGTTTAAAATGTCTACCTTGAAGTTCTTAGTCCATGATGTTCTATTTTTGTCAAGAAAAAAGATGTTTGAAAAATACATTAGAAATTAAACAAGAATTTCATAATGTAATACCAAAAGTGTATAAAAATAAATATTGAGATATAGACTGAGGTTCCAGGAAATTTTCTTTAAATACTTAATATAGGAAAAGGTCAGAGGAGGTCCAAAATATCAAAGAGGGGGATGACACACTTTTTGGATGTGGGATAAGGGGGTAAAAAGAGTGGGATCTGGGAAAAAGGGCTTTTGGGATGTGGGATAAGGGGTAAAAAAGAGTGGGATAAGGGGGTAAAAAAGAGTGGGATCAGGAAAAAATAATAGACCAATATGAAAAAAAAATGATAAAATTTGACATTTAAGGGATATAACTCCTATAAGAAGTGGTCTCGGACAGTCTTGACTTAAACGAACAGCAGGTAGATCTCAACATTCTGGACTTTTCAGCCCCTGTCAAATTTTCTCTATTCATAGTGGTTTTCAAGATAATAGACAAAACTTGCATTTTACCCCTATGTTCTATTTTTAGCCATGTCGGATTGTCGGCCATCTTGGTTGACAGGCGGGGTCATAGGACACATTTTTAAAACTAGATACCCGAATAATGATTGTGGCCAAATTTGGCCAAGTAGTTTCAGAGGAGAAGATTTTTGTAAAAGTAAACGGTCAGTGTTCTCCCCAGGGCCTTTTAGCATCATGGTAATGTGATGCTATAAATCTTAAATGTGATGCTATATTTCTTAAATGTGATGCTATCTGAATTGGTTTTCTTATAGATTATGTTATGGATGTGATGCTATCATTTTTACAAACTAGATGGTATTTCAAATTTCTCTGTTTATCAGGATTCTATAGACACATTTTTCAAGATCTGACCTAATTATCATGTGCGCTGCCATTTATCTATCACGTGGTGCCGCAGCCATAGCACTAATGATAGATAACGCACGTGCTTTAATGACAACAATATCGATCTTTTGTTTACAATTTGTTTTTCACTATTTTCCTTTTCGTTTTATGATGGAGAGTGAAAATAAATACAAAACAGGTGGTGGGAACTAATGTTCAGTTCATGGTTGTTCCAATAATCGAAAAAAAATAACTTTGTGGAAGAAATCAATGTGTGAATTACATGGTGAAATGCACGACCATTGTCCCTGTTTAATTCCTTACAGACTACATGTAATGCCATCCAAGGAATCGATAAGGCTTGAGTGGATAAAAGCTTTAAATCGGAAAGATCTTCCGAAAAACGTATATGTATGCTCTGAACATTTTATTGACAGAAAACCTACAGATCGGAATCCTTCCCCTAAGTTAAAGATGGGGTATGAAAACAAGACAACTCCCGGTAAAAGAAAAATTTTAAAGCATCAGTTGACAGTGAAAAAAAGAAAACTAGAAGATGGTGATTCCGATTCCGATAGAATTGGACACTACTTTAGAAAGTGAACCAGGCACAAGTACGTCGTCTGAAAAACTACCGGAGGCTATTTGTAGTTTTAATGTTTAAGCTTCATCTACTGCTGGTACACAATATCTTGAATCGGACTTCTTACCGCAGACAGGTCACACCAGGAACATATATATTGACGTTAGATATACTGTTCCCAGTCACACCTAAGGGAAAGAATGGACCGATTTTCAGACTCGATTTTCTCAAACAAATATAGTTTTAACGGAAGAAAAGGGAGTTCAAAGTAAATCTGATGGAGCAACTTTGTCTGCTGCACAAAATTTAATAACAGACAATGACGCTTTATTGTATACAGGGGTCACAAAAGAGGTCTTTTTCACGCTGGTGAAATGTATTACTCCTTTCAATACATTTAGTTTTCAATTAGAGGTAGCAGATCAATTACTCCTTGTGCTCATGAGACTTAAGTTAAATTTAATTTTTGACGATCTATGCAGATTTGGAATATCAAGTGGTTTAGCTTGCAAAATATTTAATTCGTGGATTCCTGTGTTGGCAGATAAGTTAAAGTCCTTGATAGTGTGGCTCCCTAGAGAAGTAATAAGAGACTGTTGTCCCGAATCATTTAGGGAAAATTATCCAAGAACTACATGTATTATTGACTGTGCTGAAACATTTATCCAGAGGCCAACTAATTTAAGGAGTAGGGGTGAAACGTACAGCAATTACAAGTCCCATAATACAGCTAAATATTTAGTTGGAATATCCCCACATGGACAAATTATGTTAATATCCAAAGCTTTTGGTGGTCGTGCTAGTGACAAATTTATAGTAGAAAAAAGTGGATTCATGAATTACTTGCTTCCAGGAGACGAGATTATCAATGGCAGATCAATAGACGACTTATTGATTCCATTGCGTGTTAAGCTGAACATTCCAGCGTTCACAAAAAACAAACCTCAGTTAAGTGCAGAGGATATGACAACCACAAGAAGGATTGCCAGAGTATGAATACATGTCGAAAGGGTTATTTGACGACTCAAGGTCTTCAAAATTCTAAGTGGGACTGTGCCTGAACCATCCTTAAAACTATTTTATGACATTTTACTTGTATGCTCTGCTTTAGTTAATTTACGGTCAGATCTGATCAGAGATACTTATGAAAGTGATGAGTGAAATTTGTTTGTTATTTTACTTTTTCTTGTTTAAGCAGGATTATAATACACTGTACATGCCAGGGGCAGATCCAGCAATTATTAAATGGGGTAGGGGGGGGGGGGCGGTTCCAACCATATGTCCCCATTCTAAAGCATTGATAGTCCAAAAAAATGGGGGTTCCAACCACCGGAATCACACCCACCCCCCACTGGATCTGCCACTGCATGTACATGTAAGTCGTTGAAGATCACCCATTACAGTATGTAATTGCTATAGACTCTAAATGATTTAGAGGTTGACGTACAATGTATTATAATTGTATTATATTATATATCCATTGATTGATGGTTGCTTAGCGTCCAGTGACAAATAGTTTATGCATATACAGGATGACATATATACATGTATTGAATAGACATCTGTTTATTGTTTAAGCCTGTGTGTTTCCTTCTAGACGTTTTTGGTTGTTTTATGGATTCCCTCTATTTAATTTACCTTGGTGTTTTTCTTTTGTTTTGTAAAACTTATTGTGTAATTGGATGCCTGTCACATTGATATATACATTGTACCCCACATCTCCTCTTATTCATAATTTATGATAAAACTTTCATGGCAATACATCAATTAAAGAGTAAAAATATCAGTTGGGGATATTTACATGAAAACATTTAACTTGGACACCTTTATATATCAATAAGTGGTTTCATGATAAACCTTTTAAGATTTTTTACTCTTTAACATCAATGTAATGGGATGAAATTGTTACAACTGACAAGCAATTTAAATGTCCTTAAAAATAACAAAGGGTCCTTTGTGATAAGCCAGACCACACAACTATGTGGAGAATCAGTAGTAGCTAATTAAGACACAACATGGTATTAACTTCGTAAATATTACTTAACACAGTTAAGGGCAGTTAATTGACATATGACTGATTGAAAAATGTAAACAAACTACAAGTTCAACTAATGGCTCCCTTCTATCATTATCTGAACCAAACTATACACATGTGTAAATTTATCCTGCCCTAAGAGATGCAGAAAGACTGATTTTTAGGGATTTTTTTTTTTGGTTTTAAACAAATAAAACAATTTTCAATACAAATTTATTTCCTTGAAAATTTCTGGCATTGAACTTTTAACTTCACTATACATGATGATCTTAACTTTTATATATAGTTCTTGTTACGATTGAATGCTTTGTTTACGTTTTTATCATTACTGTAATGGCGGATGGTATTTTAGAGCGCCAAGCAGCGACGATCATTACTACGGGTGATAATTGAAAAAAACGTGTCTATATGAAATATCTGTGGAGAACACTGACGGTCGTCGACGACGGGCACCAAGTGATGAGAAAATAAAAAATAGGGATGTTGGAAATAAAAAAAAAAAAGCAGGATTTTGGAAATGAGCACCCCCTTGTTACCCCCTCATCAAACAAAATTCAAAATTTCGAATAGCAAACATCCTTATGTGATAATCAATTTTTCCTTTGAACTATCCAACCCACCAATAGGCATAGTTCTTTCAATTATGAAGTATTTATGACATACTATAAAGATGAACCAGTGCAATTCCCAGCATAAGTAGCAAAAGTATGCCAAAACAAGCCCAGAAAGAACCTTTGATAGAAATAAAAAACATTCGACCATAAAAAAAAAATTCTATATAAAGGGAGATAATTCAATGTAATCAAACAAGAAAAGTATTTAAAAGACTGTTTTTTATTTCTTAACTTCATGTTTATTATCCATTGTATAAATTTTTGTCATATATTCAAGTGTAATATACAAAATTACTGACTTTTTTGAAAATTAAAAAAAAAAACATATTTTTTATACTTTGTGTAAAAAAGGCTTTAAAATTAAGTATTCAAATGTGTAATAATCAAAATATTTTGACAAAAATTGTAAGAGTTTCTGTGGAATCCTGCATCTGTAATTGCAGCTGTCAAGTTAAAAGCGAAAAAAACATGATATACGACATAACAAACGATCAATTTTTGGCTTAAGATTTTTTGTGAAAAGAACACCTGCTGTCTAAGTTACGAAGGTTTGGCGAAGTTATAATGTAAAAAAATTCCCAGACTTATTTAAGTATTAGATACATCTTGAGGGCGTTAACCCGAACGTTTTGTAGCTTATTTACACCTAGATATTGTCATAGTTTTCAATAATTTAGAAGGGGTCTTTCAGCGATTTGTTCACATGACATTGAAAAGCATGGTTAACATGATTAATGCAGGGTATCCAATTGCATTTAACGACATCTTGGTGTTAATAATAAATTAATAGCTGCATAACAAATCCTAAGTCTATTTATCAGTAAAATATGGAAAGATGAAAAAAATATATAATTTTGCTTCAGACATTATCTGACATTAAAAAAAACCTCTACACAAAGTTTTATTTAATTCTATTAAGGTTTGACAAAGTTTTTTTTGTCAAAACAACTTTAACCCCACACTGTATGTGTTTAGTTAAAAAAAACAACAAAAAAACAACCCTGCAAACATGTTTAACCCCACCACATTTAGTATGTGCCTGTCCCAAGTCAGGAGCCTGTAATTAAGTGGATGTCGTTTATTGCTGTATATCATATTTGTTTTTTCGTTCATAAATCAGACGGTTAAATTTCTCTTTTCTGGACCTTTTGATAGCTTGCTTTGTGGTATGCATTTTGCTTATTACTGAAGGCCATATAGTTGCTAACTTCTACATTATTTGATATCTGGAGAAGAGTTGTCTCTTTGGCAATCATACTATATCTTCTTATTTTTGTAAGTCCATTTTTTAGTAAAATACAGAAAAATAAAAAAAACATGTCCTTTGATCAGACATAAATAAAAACTTAATGTACACATTTTGTAAATTCCAAGCAGGTTTGATAAAGTTATAAATGTCTTAAACAACTATCTTTTACCTCAGACTGAAACTAGATATTGACAATGAGGATTGATTGTAATAAAATAGTAATAATGCTATATCTCACTTTCATAACAAAATTTTGAAGGTTCAACGAAAAATTCGTCACATACCGGTAAGTGATTCACTATAAAACAAGGTGATTATTCAGGTGATTATATGCATTAACACTGATTAACAGCCCTGTCACATTAACACTGATTAACAACCCTGTCACATTAACACTGATTAACAACCCTGTCACATTAACACTGATTAACAAACCTGTCACATTAACACTGATTAACAAACCTGTCACATTAACACTGATTAACAACCCTGTCAGAGAGTATCAACCACAATAACAGTGTTCATTGTGAAAAATCACTACAAAGAGATATTTTGAGCTGAATCATCTCGAGTACACTGTATAAATGCATGAAGAGTAGAAGCTATATAGTACCTTCTTTATCTTTTAATACAAAAAGTCTCTTATTTATGTACCTATTACTGTGGATTCATTTATTTTCATCGGTACCAATTTTCATGGATTGAGGAAAACTTTCATTTTCATGGATTTGTTATTCTTGGTTTTGCCAAAGTCTGCACTCAACCTTCTAGAAAATTTGTAATTCATTGAATTAACTTTGTGGGTTCACCTGTACGCATGAAATCCACGAAAATTGGTATTCAACGAACAATATTAGTAATGAATCCATAGTAACTCAAATTTCTTTTATTAAATACCTGATCAAAAGCTGGGAAAATATAATCAGCAAACTGTATCTCTGCAATGGCTGTAGAACCCATTGCAGCTACTCCTATACCAAAAGCTACAATACCTTGCTCACTTAAGGGTGTGTTAAACACTCTATCACGACCTGTAGACAAATTATAATGAAAACAAACATTACATCATTCTCATCTGTCAAAAATTAACTCTGATTATCTCCCCTTACCCTATTAAAATAAGCAGTAAAAATAAGGTGAAGACCACCAGACAGTGAGGGGTCCCTTAAAAATGCTTTTGGATCTGGATCCTAAAGAAAGAGCTCATGATCCAATTTGAAAGCATAATTGTAATGTAAATTTAGATATCTAAGCAAATGCCATTTTTGAAAAACATTTATTGACCTCTAGATGATTTTTTTTTTATTTTGTAGCTACACCTATGCCAAGTGCTACAATACCTTGCTCACTTAAGGGTGTGTTAAACACTCTATCACAACCTGTAGACACAAATTATAATGAAAGAAAACATGACATCATTCTCATTGTTGGGTTGATGTCTGAAAAATGCTTTCGTTTCTAGATTCTAAAGACAGAGCTCTGGAACCAATTTGAAAGCATCACAATGATAATTTTGTCTTTTTGAGCAAATGACAATTTGGAGACCATTAGCTGAACTCTAAATATCTTTTTTTTTAAATTTATGTTGTTGGGTTGATGTCTGACTGTATATATTCAACATCTCCTTTTCTAATAAGGGTTTACATCATATTTGTTTTTCTCTGTTCATGTGCTGTTGTTGTTTTACATTTAAATCAGCCAGTTGGTTTTCTTGTTTGAATTGTTTCACATTTTATCATGTTGGGGCCTTTTATAGCTTGCTCTGCCCTGTGGAATTTGCTCATGATGAGGGCCATATGGTGACTTCTTGTTGCTAACATCTGTGTCACTTGTTCTCATGGTGGATAGTTGTTTCATTGGCTTTCATACCACATCTCCTTATTTTATATTGTTAATTTGAAATTTGAAGTATTTGCTATTTCCAGGTAACTTAATTCCTGGTCTCATTTTTAGCTCCTATCAAGATTACTATAAATTAGTATTTCATCAAGAAACTGAATTCATAGTATATCCTTAAACACAAAATCCAATAAAATAAGTATCAAACCAATATTAATTTATCTGCTGTATAAAATTGTCACATGTACATGATGTACAAAATGTACATATAAATTTGTTTTACTTGGCAGTATTTTGCTTAGTTAATATCAATTTATATTGGTAAATTTCTTGATTGCAGAGTTAATTTCATACTTATTTTTGTATGGTAAATGTGTTTTTTTTCCTAAATATATTAACTTGCCATATCTATCCTTTAATTCCACACTACATCTAAATACCCCACCAAATGCGACATCTTCTCCAAACAACACTAAAAAAAATATATTCAAATCAATTATCTAATAAATGTCAGAAGCAAGGTTCTCAATAAGAATTTTTGAAGGCAAGTCCAGCCTGTCCAGGACTCGTAATTTTTGGCCATGGCGAGTTCAGCAGTAAGAAGATGAAATTTTATTACTACATTATTTATTTCTTCAGTTTGCACGTCGTGCAAGGAAATGACATTTTTTTAAATATTTTTTTCTGCTTTCAAAACTTTTGGCTCTGAGCAATCAAGTTGAAAGTTAATCCAAAAACAGAGGTGGTATATTTGGTGAATACAGAGATTCAGAATGTTTTCTCCTTGTTACAATGCATTAAGTTAGTAGGGTTATCTCCCTTACCTGCTGATGGATCTGTAGATAAAGCAATATCTAAAGCATTGTTTATGGCTTGTACTAAATTCATACGGGTTGTCTCCCCTGAAATGATAAAGAAAAAGATTCAAAGATACAGCATTATAAGAGTTGAATGTTTTTTTTTCATTATGTGTCCAAAAAAATATTCTAAAGAAAAAAAAAAAAAAAATGAATTGCACACTGGGCTCCTTCCTAGTAAATTCTACAGCTGACCTGATTGTGAAATAAGAAAAATGCTCTTTAAAGCTTGTATCAAATTTAAATCTGACAAATATACTTACAATCATGGCCAGTAATGTCAAGTAAATTATACTACAAGCAACTTCAAGAATAATAAACTTGTTTAAGTATTGACTCTGACTGACATACATGTATATACAGGGGGTCTCATTGGGGGGGGGGGGGGGGGGGGGGGGGGGGGGGGGGGGGGGGGGGGGGGGGGGGGGAGGTGGATAGGGTCTGTAATTTCAGTGTCCAATCCAACTTTGTTTCCCTTTTTCACGCCAAATAATTTGAATTTTCAGAATCACGCTTAAAAAAAATCAGCCAATCCCTTATCACGCTTACATCCCAATGAGACCACTATACATGTACATGTATCTCACGAGTTATTGAATTATTTATCTATATGAAATGCTGAAAAAATATGCCGTTGACATTCCAGCATAGCAATGTAATCTGAGGTTAACACTGTTAACTTAACAGGCATGCATAGTAATTGTTGTAGTTCCCCCTTTTTTGTTTATATTTTTCATGATTTAGCAGGTGCCCTTTCCAAGTTCATGTCTACTAAGTAAGCATAGGAGTTACCGTGTGCAGCAGAGATAGTGTCAGGAACATATTGTACTGACACACATCTATGTACTGATAAGGAAGTCTGTAAATTCTTTTTTAAAAACCTTGCATTCTGCAAACACCGCAGAAACTTCCAGGACATAGTGTTACTTCTGACTCTAGATACAGGAAGTTGATCTAAGGGCGATAACTCTAATATTTATTCAGAAACTTCCTCTTTTCTGGGGTTCCCCACCTAAAGATTAGATTTCGAAGCTACATTTAGTTAACCATTTAATTAATCTTCCTTGTGAAGTCTATGAAAAAGTTTTTTTACTGTATTTTTAAAAATTATTTGTCAAAGTGAAAGTAGCTTTCTCAGTTTCTGCACTGAATATCCTTATCATGGCGTCCAAGGATTCGTACGGAATTGTTGAGTGGTATGGAAATGGAAACGGACACCGCTGCGGTTATTGTAAAAGTTCAAATGGCAACATTTCAGACGGTGAATATTTACATTATAATTCTCCAAAGATTATTCAATAGGCTGAGTTAATAGCAGTGCCGTTATCAACGTTAGGGAAACAAAAAATATGAGAGTTGTTGGCATGTTGCTATGACAAATGAAGCATAAACCCCTTGAATGAAGTGTCCAGGCATCGTGCTCAGCATATTTATTTTGATGTTGTGCAAAAAAAGGTTTGCCTTTAAAGTACGAAACGAAAAAATAAAATGAAACTAAAAGAAACGAAATCAACGAAAAAAACCAACAACAAACAAACAAAAAGAAAGAAAGAAACGAAAAAAAAAAAAAAAAAAACGAAACGAAATAAACTAAACATTTATCGAATATATTATAATTATGAAACGAAATATATATATTCTCTCCTTTTGGCATTTATAACCTTAGAATGGATTGTTAATAGTTGATAGTGATGAATTATTGTTTAACGTCCAGTGACAAACATTACATCCATATCTGAAACGATCAATGATCCAGAAATTTTTTCACACAATTTCGGTCATTTTGAGATAACTTAAAAGTTGGTGCCTTTTTTCAAAATTGTTGAAATCATACTAGATTCATAGCATCAACGAACTTGTTTTGACTGTTTCATCGCATTTACTTCATGAATTTTCTTATCATTTATCTAAAAACATTCAAGAACAGTTAAGGGAAGGCAACAGTTTAAAAATGAAACGATTTTAATGACTCAAAATGGTTAATTTCTCAGACATTAGTAACGTTTCTTTCGATTTTGAAGACGAAATTAAAACTGGATGTTTTGCGACAATACTAAAGTACAAGTTATTCCGGACTCATTTCTGGGATTCGTTTTGTTTATCAATTTGACAGGAAATCACCGGCCTTTTAATTTTTTTACCTATTAAAAGTGTTTGAATAATACAGATAATAGTTGCACTTGTCTTATTTAGCATGAAATAATTTTGCATTTTACGATTAAGTGTCTAATCTGCCGAAGAGAATTTCACACATGCGTATTACCACGTTAATAAAGTGTTACTCGTGGAAAATTACTTTTTTCTAAGTAAATTAAATAAAGTTTTAATTTTTAAATCAGAATTGACGATTGTCATTATTGAAAAGTAATTAAATAATGAAGACAGTTGTCACGGAATTTTAATTTCTTTATAATATTAGTTCTGAGCTTGGGATCAATGTCAGGTGTGAATTAAAAACACAGGTAAAAATTGATTAGCGATCATTAGCCAATATTTCCCGCAGGCATTAATATAGTTATTAGGAGGGCCCTCAGGATTAAAATACTATAAAGTGGCAGTTTTATTACAGGAAAGGGATAACAAAACAAAAACAAGACCGTACAAGATGGCGATTAAGAAACCTGATCTCAACGAAAATGACCGCAATTATTTCTGTAAAAAAATTAAATTTGTCCTAAATCCCAATTTTTCGTTCAGGACAAATAAATTTCAGATTAGGTCATGTCTGGCAAATATGACCGTTTCCAGACCCTTGTGCAAGAGTTCACATTATGGTGTTTATGGCGTAAAATTAATTTGATTCATATTTCATTCCAAAGGGTTCAATGGCACCCTTCTGAATTTTATTAGCTTATCTGGCCAAAAGGGCCATCAAAGCTTTTGCCATCACTCTCTGTCCGTCTGTCTGTTCTGACAGGTAAATTTTACACATTTTCATCTCGGGAAACATGGATCAAAATATAGCCACAATTGCAAGATTCCTGATGATTTATGGACATGATGGAAGGCCCTTAACAATAACAAGCAATTTTCATTTATTTAAGAACAATTAAAAAACATTGCCCATTAGACAGATGCATTATTCAGTTTTAATTGACAAATCCCCCTCTGAAACTACACAGCAGACGTGAACCAAATTTTATTGAAATTAATAAAGCATTTTTATTACACAGCATACATCCTTATCTTTATAAGAGAGCAAGAAAGAAATACATCTAATTAAAGTTAATCGTTATGGCTTCAAATGCAAAAGAAGAGTAAATATGTAGGACTCGGAACCGCGATGGTACTCCGAACCGTGATGGTCACGCTGAAGTGCGATGGTCCACGCTGAAGTGCGATGGTGACATTATGACGCTAACTTGTTGATAAGTATGCTGAAGAGCGATGGTGGTTACGCTGAAGTGCGATGGTGGTAACACGCTGAAGTGCGATGGTCTGCCTATGATATAGAGTAAAAAGCAAAATGTACACGAGATATTTAAATGAAATAACATTATTCAGGTTTGACCAAAGTAGCTGCTAGCCTCGCACTTGAAAGATCGTTTTAATTTCTGTTTAGTTTAAAACCAAAAACTTTAAAATCTTCATTTGTTTTAATCTAATTTTGAATTTGCCAATTCTTAGATAAGTACGCAGTAGTATGGTGTCAGAAATATTGGTAGTCACGGCGTGTAGGTCTATATAATAATACTTGTCACGTTTTCCACCAAAAACTGAAATTAGCTGATTCGCCGCTGAGGAGAATAAAATATATAGGTAAGTACACGTAGGGACCAGTCAGGTTAATTTCGGCCTAACATGTTGTAGAAATTAAATTAAACACTTTAAGCACAATAAAATAAGGCTACATTGACGGTGTTCTTACAAATCAACTTGATATAGCAAAAACATTGCTAATGCTAGTAAGTAATTTCATCATTAAATTGTCCACACAAAATCGTGTAATGCATACTTGAAGAGAAGTCAAAATTAATATTTAGATCAAGACATTTTATTTGTCGAACAAAAGGTTTGCGGCATTCTTCCGAACACTGGTTAGCTCATCTGCAAACCAAGTTCATATTTTTGCCGCTTTGACATAGCTTTAAATATTTTTATAATATCCGCCAGCACTGCTCAAACCTGTTCTTGACTTGAATCCTTCGTTACTTTTTTTTCATTTCTTTTGTTCGCATTAAACTTTTATCTACAAAATCTTATTCTCCTGCCTGCGTATCTATGTTGTATTTGATGTAACGTTGTATATGAAAACGTCACAATATTCAAACGTCATGCCAAACCATCGCACTTTGATCAGTGAAAGGAACATCGTACTTCGGCGCGGACCATCGCACTTCAGCGTGACCATCGCACTTCAGCGTCCCCATGGCACCTCCAAGTCCTACAAATATATTATATATTTCATTTCGTTATTATAACATATTTGATGAATTTTGATTTGATTTCGTTTGGTTTCGTTTCATATCGTGGAATCCTTTTTCGTTTGTGTTTGTGTTTGTTTTGTTTCTATTTTGTTTTGCTTTTATCATGCTTATCAGCTTATAGGCACCTGTAAATAAGTACAGAAAAATTCTTCAGAAACTTTCAAAATTGTGCATGATTTTGGGGAAAAATAAAGTTCTGTTTTCACCTTTCTTCAGAATCCAGGTAGTTTTCCCCCTCCCCTTCCCATCAGATTCCATACACCAATCTCAAGTTGTTTTATATAAAAGAATTACACTGGTTGACCTGAGATCAATCGGCATAATTGACGTCATCGAACAGTCGGTTCTTATTGTGACATAATAACATAAAGCATCATGATGTAGGAAATTTATGGGAAAGTTCACGAATTTGAAAGTTGTCTTTTTCACCCCTGCTAGAAGACATCTTTCAAGTTCATGTATTTTCCCCTGCATTTCCTTTGCCACTGTTCAATGATGTCATCATGTGGTAAAAAAATGTTAAAAATGAAAAATTCAACCTAAGTGCGCAGAAATTATGGTGACAAACTGACCTGTGCATTATTATGGCTTGCACTGTGTGTGTTATGGCTGGACATATATGTATACATTTTTTCTTATTCTTTGCTATAAATAATCTTGCTGTTGATGCATTGCAAATTATAAATCAATTAGTCTTTCTGCTTTTATTTTTACACAAGCTGATCAGCCAACTGTATGAACAAAATATGAATTGATATGTTGAATGATTAAATTGATTTAATTTTGTTGTTTTTATTAAATCTGATTGTGTGAAAATGTTTTTTTTTAGTGTCTGACATTGAAGTTTACATGTATATGTACAATATAAGCAGCATAACTAATATTCTTGGTTACTATGTAATTTGAGTGCCTCCCATCCCTAAACCAAGACATGCAAGATTAATTTTGGAACAGCCCTTAGAAAATTTGACAAAAAATTCAGTTAATTTGAATGGAGCCAATTGGTACCAAACATTGTGTCTTTGATAGCTTAAAAATGATATCCTAATAAAAGATGCTTAAAATTTACTAAAAAAATCAATAAATCTAGCTATCGTGCCTATGGAAAATGTATGAATAACATGATTTTAATATTTCTTGTACATACATTTAGTAGACTGAGTTTATGCTAGGCATAGAGACCAGTGGAGGGTAAAACCAATCTCAGAGCCTCTGGTACTATGTAGTCAGGGTCATGTCTTTCATTCATCTTTACTTCAAATTTCAAGTAAATTATCTTATCTTTGACAGTCAGGGATATAACTCTATAGGGTTATTACAGGAAATAACTTGCATGTGTTATTACAGATATTTTTATGAGTTGTCTACTCTTTAAACCTAAAATTTTCTAAATCTGTAATAACATATGTTTGTTATTTGTAAAATACATGATCAACATTTTAATTTCTAGTGGGCTCTAGGGAACTCTGGAAACTTTGCGCAGAAACTAAATGCATAGCCTTGATAACTAATTTTTGAATTAAATTAATACACATATCATTAACCATGGTAAATCAATGAGACAAGGCTTTTAAATGATTAACTTAGCTGTAATAACAAGGCTTAGTTATTAAAGGCATGTAACTTATTATATGAGACACTTGGGAATTACTGGGAAACTTGCGCAGAACCTCATTACATGCTCTGGTCATTATTTCTTACAATGAATTAAAATAAATTGTAATTAAGCATGATGTATGTCTGAGCAAATGCTTTGGAGTGATATAGAGAAGCTGTAATAACACCCTTTAGTTATTACAGGCCATTTTTTTCTGTAATAACATAGGTGTATTATGCATGATTGTCAAAATATGAACTGTTATATCTTTCTATAGTTAAGTATACATAAAGACAATAGTAATATCAATAGAACCTGTATACATTTGAACAAAACTAATGATGCATATTGTCCCTTTGAAACATGTAACATACATATGTTATCACAGGTCTTTGATTCTTTAGTCCACAATAACAAACATATGTTATTTTTCTCTAATAACCCTATAGAGTTATATCCTTGACTGTTTGATAGATATGCATATAAAAGATTTCATTTCATTAAACAAATAAGAAAACTATGTGCATTTTACATACAACAGTATTTTGTACATTATAGCAAATGGCAAAAATTTCACAAACAAAATCATGAGTATGGTAATGTCAAATATGAATTGATTCATCATTATTTGTAAGGCACTAATTTTTGTGAATTTGATGGGAATAGGTGAACCACAACTTTAAGGTGGAAATTTAAATTTTTGCCGAGCGGAGGGAGGCGAAAGTTTTTTTGGGGTAAAATTATCTAAATATTCTTTATTAAGCTGAGGACAACCCATGCATTGCAAATTTTAGGGGGACACACGCCCGTCACACCCCCGAATCTGCCCCTGTTACCTATAGTCTTGTGTGAGGATTTAGTCAAAACCACGGAATCAAATATTCACGAAAATACAATATTGCCTCAAACAACAAAAAAAAGTACCGGTATGCATGATAATCCACAGTAAATTAAGATATGGGATATACACATTTTGAGAATTGCATGCTATTTAAGATCAAACGTTTTGGCATAAATTTACATATTTGATGTTATATAATTGAAGGAATGTGGGCACATGCCTTGACTGTACAGAACTATCAAGATCTAATTGACAGAGGATGGAGAAGGTATGTGGTTCTATGTTGATGAACATAATTACTTTTTATACATTGTGACTTGGATGGAGAGTTGTCTCATTGGCACCCATACCACAAGAATTATTTCTAATGATAAATAGCCTTGGTACCCTAAAAATAATAATGAATTTACAGTATATAATTTCATGATCAATTATCATGATTATACATGTAATTGTTTCTTGTAGAAATCATACAAGTATTAAATGTAAAATTTTGGCAAAAAGTAAAGTTTTAGATTTTGTAAGGGGAATTCTACTTTACTGATGATTCACTAACAAAATTAGGTAGAACTATATAGCTATAAATGGACTTAATTTTGAAAATATGGAAATTAAGAAAAATCTTAATTTATCCTTTTTAGAATTCCTATGGGTAGCAACTGATGATAACCAATAGTTGGTTTATTTCATGCAAATGATTGTAAGAGCTCTTTTTTGTTTTTTAATCCGATTGAACAACACACTGCTGTGCCTTTGAAGCCAAAAGTTAAAGGACAAATACATAAAACATGTTATCTTAACCAAGATAAGAATAAGAAGATGCGGTATGATTTCCAACGAGACAACTATCCCTCAGAGACCAAATGATGTGGATGTGAGCCACAGTAAGTCCAGTTAGTAAGGTGAAAAATTGCATAACTCTGCAAAAAAAAAAGAAAAAAAAGACGCTTTTTAAATTGCATGACCAGTTAACACTTTGAATTTTCCCCTAACAAAACTTCTTTATATATGTCTTTTAGGAGTGGGAAATACTGTTACAAACCGCTAATGAACAAAACATGCTGTCCACATTATACCATAAAAATGGAGGCACTAAATTTTCGGATGAATAAATCACATAAGAAGATTATCAAACAGGTCAACAAATATCTTATACATGGAATAAAACCAGGAGAGGTCAAAGGACAAGATCAGGATGAGGCTCGAGATGCCCCACATTCAGAAGCAGGGAATGTGCCAGAAGGGGAAACACCAACTGTTGATATGAAAGGGGAGACAACTCCGGGAGTAGAAAATACAGCAACTTCATCAACCCAAATTCCAAAACCAGAGACAGTGAAGGATAGTGCAATGGATATAGTAAAATCAGAAGATGCTACAAAATCTAAAAAAGAAATCAGAAAGGGTAAACATTTCGATATTTGCATAAAAATTGTAATGAAACAGTCAATCCATGTCTCTCAAGTTCAGGGGTGAGACTGAAAATAGTTGTTTAAAAAAATAATTTCAAATGGTTAAAAAGATCTTAAATTTTTTTGTTTTTTGGCTTTTCAAATTAACATAACAATTATATATATCACAGTAGCAAAAATAAGAGGTAACAATGGGTAAAACCCATACTATATATAGTAAAGGTAAGTTATAAATTGCCTCTCTATTACATTCTAAGGATTCATTTATTTTTGTGGATACTAATTTTCATGGATTGAGGAAAGATTGTATTTTCGTGGATATTTGATTTGGTGGTTGTACCAAATTTTGCATAAAAGCTTATTAAATATTTGTATTTCCTTGAATATTTAAATTTGTGGTAAACCTTTACCCATGAAATACACAACAATATTCAACTGGATACTGGTTACTGGGTTTCGGGAAGACACAAAATGTGATATAAACAATATTTTTTTAAGACACACTACATGGTTTTTGTCGAGCCTGCGACTTTTGTCGCAGAAAGCTCGACATAGGGATAGTGATCCGGGGGTGGCGTCGGCGGCGGCGGCGTAAGCTAACTTCTTAAAAGCTTTATATTTTAGAAGGTGGAAGATCTGGATGCTTCATACTTTGTATATGGATGCCTCATGTTACGAAGTTTCCGTCAGTCAGATGTCCATTGTCCTTGACCTCATTTTCATGGTTCAATGACTACTTGAAAAAAAAGTTAAGATTTTTTGTAATGTTAAATTCTCTCTTATTATAAGTAATAGGATAACTATATTTGGTATGTGCGTACCTTGCAAGGTCCTCATGCCTGTCAGACAGTTTTCACTTGACCTCGACCTCATTTCATGGATCAGTGAACAAGGTTAAGTTTTGGTGGTCAAGTCCATATCTCAGATACTATAAGCAATAGGTCTAGTATATTCGGTGTATGGAAGGACTGTAAGGTGTACATGTCCAACTGGCAGGTGTCATCTGACCTTGACGTCATTTTCATGGTTCAGTGGTTATAGTTAAGTTTTTGTGTTTTGGTCTGTTTTTCTTATACTGTATGCAATAGGTCTACTATATTTGGTGTATGGAATGATTGTAAGGTGTACATGTCTAGCTGGCAGGTGTCATCTGACCTTGACCTCATTTTCATGGTTCAGTGGTCAAAGTTAAGTTTTTGAGTTTTGGTCTTTTTTTCTAATACTATATGCAATAGTTCAACTATATTTGGTGTATGGAAATATTTTATGATCTATATGTCAGTCACGCAGGTTTTATTTGACCTTGACCTCATTTTCAAGGTTCATTGCTCAATGTTAAGTTTTTGTCGAGCCTGCGACTTTTGTCGCAGAAAGCTTGACATAGGGATAGCGATCTGGCGGCGGCAGCGTAAGCTAACTTCTTAAAAGCTTTATATTTTAGAAGATGGAAGACCTGGATGCTTCATACTTTGTATATGGATGCCTCATGTTACGAAGTTTCCGTCAGTCACATGTCCAATGTCCTTGACCTCATTTTCATGGTTCAGTGACTACTTGAAAAAAAAGTTCAGATTTTTTGTAATGTTAAATTCTCTCTTATTATAAGTAATAGGATAACTATATTTGGTATGTGCGTACCTTGCAAGGTCCTCATGCCCGTCAGACAGTTTTCACTTGACCTCGACCTCATTTCATGGATCAGTGAACAAGGTTAAGTTTTCGTGGTCAAGTCCATATCTCAGATACTATAAGCAATAGGTCTAGTATATTCGGTGTATGGAAGGACTGTAAGGTGTACATGTCCAACTGGCAGGTGTCATCTGACCTTGACCTCATTTTCATGGTTCAGAGGTTATAGTTAAGTTTTTGTGTTTTGGTCTGTTTTTCTTATACTGTATGCAATAGGTCTACTATATTTGGTGTATGGAATGATTGTAAGGTGTACATGTCTAGCTGGCAGGTGTCATCTTACCTTGACCTCATTTCCATGGTTCAGTGGTCAAAGTTAAGTTTTTGAGTTTTGGTCTTTTTTTCTAATACTATATGCAATAGTTCAACTATATTTGGTGTATGGAAATATTTTATGATCTATATGTCAGTCACGCAGGTTTTATTTGACCTTGACCTCATTTTCAAGGTTCATTGCTCAGTGTTAAGTTTTTGTGTTTTCGTCTGTTTTTCTTAAACTATAAGCAATAGGTCAACTATATTTGTTGTATGGAAGAATTGTTAGCTGTACATGCCTGCCTAGCATGGTTCATCTGACCTTGACCTCATTTTCATGGTTCATTGGTCAATGTTTAGTTTACTTGGTTAATGTTAAGTTTATGTGACAGTTGTCATAAAGCTTTATATTTAGGACTATCAACATCATATCAATGATTAGTAAAGAAGGCGAGACAATTCAGCGTGTGCACTCTTGTTTTAATTACAGGTGAGGGAGCAGATCCAAACAAACCACCATGTCGTAAAGCTAAAGATATCAGGATAGAGATGAAGAAGAAAAAATTACTAGCGGCAGGCAAGGATCCTCAGGAAGTGGAAGAAATGTTTCAGGTAAAGCTAAATTATCCTTTCTAGCTCACCTGACCCTTGAAATGTTGAAAAGATAATATTTCAATATTGCAATTGTTGATCAATGGTGTGTTTGATTGCTTGTTTTTGCTATCAACACTATTGCAAATATTTCATCCATATTCAAGACAATTTTGAAGAATGGACACCAATTTAAGAATGGTTGATGTGATTTGAGGAAATGTTGCATTCAAACAAAACAATTTAAGATAAAATCAGGTTTTTGCATTTAAACACAATTTAAAATGAAATCAGTTATCCTATGTGTACAAAGAAAGAAGCTGGGACTAATCGTACATGAAGATAACTAGTTTATATTTTTTTTACCAAAAGTTACCTCCCCTATTTTACACGACAATGTTATTTTATTTACAATATGGTTCAACTTGTTACATTTAATACAAAGTAGATCACTTATGTCAATCAAGCTGATCCCCCTACAAACATTGAAGCTGTTGTCACGTTGAGGAATACCTTCTTTGCCCCATGGATGGATACCCCATATCTTTTCTTTTCTATTTTGTAGCACATGCAAAGATGCAGTTCAAAATTTTAATTCATATTTTGTAAGAAGAATTTGTTTAAAGACATTTGTATATAGATTGTGCTTATCTTAACAGATTTTTTTTCAGAGAAAATGAGCTTTACAAAATTGTATTCAATATTTCATAAGAAGCAAAAGTAATTTGATAGACATTTGTGTTTGTATTTTTTTTGTCTTTACATATTTTTACAGAGATTTTTTTTACAAAGTTATATGTTATATTTCATAAGAAGCAAAACTCATGTGAAAGATGATTTGTATATGGTTTTTAATGCGATGATTTTAACAGAACTGTTGTTATTTTCACAGAAGAAGAGCAATCCTACAGATGGCGTTAAATCTTTGGAGGACTATCTAAATGAACCTTCAAACACAGATAATTGTGCTCATAAATTAGAGGTAAGGGTATGAATTTAATAAACCATTAAAATCTTTTATGTACAACCTAAAAATATGGAAAGATTTGATATTACTAGATACGACATCTACACATTAACATGTTGTAGGGTATTACTAGCTATAGATAGGACATCTACACATTAACGTGTTGTAGGGTTAAGGACATCTACACATTAACATGTTGTAGGGTATTACTAGATAGGACATCTACTCATTAACGTGTTGTAGGGTTAAGGACATCTACTCATTAACGTGTTGTAGGGTTAAGGACATCTACTCATTAACGTGTTGTAGGGTTAAGGACATCTACTCATTAACGTGTTGTAGGGTTAAGGACATCTACTCATTAACGTGTTGTAGGGTTAAGGACATCTACTCATTAACGTGTTGTAGGGTTAAGGACATCTACTCATTAACATGTTGTAGGGATAAACTAATATTTTTTTTATCATTCAACCCTTTCCTTTTTAAACTTGATTTAAAGAATAACAAAAAGAACAAAGATGAACATACAATGAAATTCAATTAAGAAAAAGCACTTATGCGACTGTCATACGAGTGAGAGGTTAGCTAGCTATAAAACCAGGTTTAATGATAATCTACCATTTTTTGGTGGGGTTCGTGTTGCTTAGTCTTTAGTTTTCTATGTTGTGTCATCTGCACTATTATTTGTCTGTTTGTCTTTTTATTTTTGGCCATGGCGTTGTCAGTTTGTTTTTCGATCTATGAGTTTGACTGTCCCTTTGGTATCTTTCGTCCCTCTTTTCTACATAAGGAAATGCTTGTACCAAGTTGGTTGTTTCCATTCGTTGATATATTTGAGCTTTTGATTTTGCTTTTTGATAAGGGACTTTCCAATTTGAGTTTTCCTTGGAGTTCAGTATTTTTGTAATTTTACGCTTTGAAAAAGGTATGGAGTATTTTTGTCAAGGTAGCTTATGATTTAAAGAAAAATATTTAAGATTAAGAAAATGACTATCAAAAACAAAATTAAGGAAGAAATTTATATTCAAGGTGGTACCAAACACCTTGACTAAAATTAATTTGGCTCGTTTAATCTTCATTAGATTTTGACAAAATATTTATTTTGTCCCTTTGACAAAAATATAAAAATTTCAAAAAACTTGAACCACACACTTTATCGTAAAAATTTCATTGGATATATAGCAGTTTGACAAACACTAATTTTGATCATTGAGAAGCTTTATATTTCTTTAACAATAGATCGTGATTAAAAAGTTTAGTTGATTTTACAGAGTTATCTCCCTATAGTGTTATGTACCACCTTAACAGACAAAACCTTATTACTCCACTAATAAGCTACCTATTTATTATTTGAATACTGAAAGAAATGATTTACTAAGAGAAGTATACATTCAAATTAAAAACTAGCAAAATGTTAACATTGGATGTTTACATAAAATTGACCAACTTTAAAATCAATTGCATGTAGAAATTTTTTATCCCAATGTCTCAGATATTGCTTTTTGCTGTATATAGCTTCTGGTTCTCTCCTGGTACCCCTGCTTCCTCCACCTTCGAACATGATAAAGCCAGGGTCTTTGAAAGTGGTATTAAACATAAACAAACAACCAAATAATATTGAATTTTTCCTCTGGCTTATATTTGCTTAATTTTCGAGAGAAGAATTTGGACAATTTTAATATATGTATAGACTAAACCATCAAGTTTATTGGTTTTATTTGCTGATGGAGTTTGAAATTGAAGAAAAGGATTTGAACTTTAAGATTGAACCACCAATTATCTTGATTTCAATTTCAGATAAAACTTGTAAGGTCTAATCCAAGATCACAAGAATTTGAAGACTCTTTCAAAGAGTCACATTCTGTTTATCATTCCTACCAAATGAAAATCCACGGAGATCCTCCAAGCAAGCCTTCAGAAGCACAGTACACTCGATTCTTATGTGATTCACCTCTTAAGGTAACTATGTCCTTTCTAATTCTAGATTAAACTGATTAGGAGTAACCCACGGCAACGTCCAGCATTTGTTGACAGCTTTAAAGAATCACATCTAGTCTTTAAGAAATACCAAATGTCCATACATCATGAAGATGAAAGCGACTGTGATATAAGTCAGTTTGAAAATTTTCTAGTTGATTCTCCACTTAAGGTAAGGGTTTGGAAATTTTAATGTAAGGCTGCTTTTTTAATGGATAATTATTTAATTTAATATCAAAGCAAAAGATTAATTTGCAAGACCTCTATGCAACAGAAATGCAGCATATTTGTGGATGATTATTAAATTTAATGTCAAAGTTTTGACTGTTAAAAGAAAAAGTCAGAGAAGCTCGAAAAAAATAAACAAGATGGACAATTTACATTTATGTATTATGAGTTTTTTGCCAGTACATTATTTTTTTCCTCACAAAATGGGATAATGCATATGGCTACTGCCAGCAAAAAAGCAATATTTAAATAACATTTATTTCTTATAGGAGACAAAAGGAGAAGATAAAACACATGGCCGTGTATCCATGGGATATGGATCCTTTCATCAGCATTATATACTAGATGGGAGAATTATAGCTGTTGGTGTGGTAGACATTCTTCCGCACTGTATATCATCCGTTTACTTATACTACCATCCTGATTATTCATTTCTAGCTCTAGGAACTTATACAGCCTTACAGTAAGTCATTTTTGTTAGAATAACAGACATGCTGAAATTGTGTTAATCTGACAATTTAAAATAGCTGGTAAAAAAGACAGTCTGCCTGACCTATGATACTAATATAGGAAGGTTTTAAATAATTTCTGTCAGACATTTTATCAGAGACCTTGACCAGACAAAATATGTTTAATTGATTGATTGATTGTGTTCAATGCCAGTTTCAGCACTATTGTGCATTTTTGTGATGGTCAGTTTGTAATGGTCCGGGAACACAGTTATCATCCCTTAATTTTCGTTGTCTACAAATATAGTCCCTAGTGTGGACAGTGTGTTACTTGCCATTTTTTGTTTATACCCTTTCCAAATTTATTTCTTCATGTTTTATGCCTTAAATAGCAAGTAGAGGGATGAAACTACACTGTAAAAAGAATTGGGTCATGAATTTTTAAAGTAAAGTAGTGATTTGGTCCAGCTTAAAAAGGTTAAAAATCAGTATTTCGGAAGCTGTCAAAAGAATTCAAGACCCCCTTAACATGAAATTGTCCATATTTTGAGCTAGAGCTGATGAAGTTTTCTATAATATTGATATAATTTGTCCAAAAAGTAGTACACCACACGGTAAAAATATTATTGAGAAAGCGCAGGTGGATTTTTTTAATTTCCATTTTTTGTCTAAAAGAAATGCACTACAAAACAACTGTGTTCTCAGGCCTACTGGTAGAGGAAGCCAGAGTTCCCGGAGAGAATCACAACCTTTAGTAGGAAACTGATAATTCTAGTCAATTAAGATTATAGTTAAATGCACCTGCCACATGTGGAATTTGAACTCGTAACCTAAGTATTGACAGGCTAGTGATACAGTTGTTCGACTACTTCGACCACTTGGCCATCAAGGCCCTAAAATATGTATGAAAGGTCAGGCAGATTTTGATACCTCTGATATAATACAACACAAAATGTTTTGGTAAAAATGTGATCAATTCAACCACGTATTTACAGAAACAAAATATAGTAAATGAATTATTCTGTATATCAAGCTAGAGAAAAGGTGTATTTTAAAAATAAAAATTGCACAACAAACATTTTTACGATAATTAAGACTGTACTTTGACCTATAATGGTTTACTTTTATAAATTTTGACTTGGACAGAGAGTTGTCTCATTGGCACTCATACCACATCTTCTTATATCTATGTAAAAAGCATTTATTCATCAAGTGATGATGCTGTGATATTCAAAATTCATTTCATACATAGAAAAACCTACACAAATTATACCAATATGGAATAAGATAATTGTTTATCAGCAATTTCTACCTTTTGTCTTTGATCCTGATGATTAATATTTTATTTAGAATAGATCATGGACAGGACTTGATACTTATAGAATAACTAATCGAAGAATTCAAATATAGAAAAATGTTCAACGAGTGACTGAGCAACACATTAATTCACGAATGCGTGTAGCACATGAGTTAATTATCAGTGTTGTTGGGTCAGGAGTTGTAAATATTTCGATATTCTTTTTATTACATTGACAATGTGCTTTTTGATAGAATTAAAGTAGAAAATGTAAGGAACTATATCTTTTTCTACGCATTCACAATTTGCTGTGATGCGATGTCATCTGCAACACCTGTTGTATGACGTCAGAGGAGTGAAATAACCGAGTTTATTCAACATGTGAAAATATCGGTTTTTATTTCACTGCGAAATCACAGTAATTCTTTGCAGCCAATGTAATAATTTTTGTTCATATATTCAACCAAAATACACGTATTGTTAAAACAAATTGCAGATTTAAAGAATAATGGCATATTGACTTCATCAGCATGATCAGCTCGAATATCAGCTCTCACTTGCAGGCTCACTTGACATTCTTGATGATAAAGTCATTATTCTTTATATATTATTGCAGGCTTACTTTTGGTAACATTCTGTATGAAATATACTGTTTCTGTACAATACATGTACTTGTGTTTTACTCCTTTATTGATGCCCTTTTATTTTTCAGGGAAATAGCATTTACAAGATCCCTAAATAAGATGGATCAAGAACTGAAATATTATTATATGGGTTATTATATACATTCCTGTCCTAAAATGGTATACAAGGTAATTAATTATGAGTTTCTTGGTACATTCCAGAGCAGCTGACAGACAAAATGCCTACAATTATATTTGAGCAAAGGGTCAAATGGAAAAAGTTACCACTTATTTGAGAATTTTGTTTACCAATTTTACAGTAAACATAACGGGAAGCTTTTTGAGTGGAGTGCATCCTTATCATTTTTGTAATACAACTACACCAATTAAACTTTTTAGTTTATGTTTGACAGCTTGTATTCAAAAACACAAGTGACAATGGAAAAAATTAAAACCTATTTCAGATTCTAAAAGTCAAAATAGAGATACATATTGCTGAATATTTGATTTCTGTAAAACATATAATTTTAGAAGAGAGGCGAAAGATAGAAAAGGGACATTTAAATACATGTCAAAAAGCAGCCTACAAAAATTATCTGACAACGCCATGAACCCCCCCCCCCTTTCTCAAAAAAACAAAACAAAACAAAAGACAACAGCACACAAAACACAACATAGAAAATTAAAGACTGAGCAACACAAACCCCACCAAAAACTTGGGGTGATCTCAGGATTAGGATGTGAAACAAAAAAATATAAAGGCATTGACCTCGCATAATGCAGCAACGACACATTTTCATGTCAATCCGTGTAAACTTATCGATGAAATGCAGACGATGTGATTTTATCAACCTAATAACTATCACAACCCTTTGTATGCGTAAAATAAATTTACAGCTATTTCATGTAATTTCATTTTGTATACAAAATAACATTTACAGTTAACTCTCGTCTCAAACTTGATTGAATTGGAAATTTCAGATAAGTCGAAATTTTCCTGTGGTTTTGTACTTTGTTCCATATATTAAAATATATGTATTTCGACTCTTGATGAGTCCACATTAGATGAGTTTAAATTTCTGTTGACTCGAACCAAATTTATGGTCCAAGGTAAACAAAAGCATTTAAATTACATTTTTTATCTCAATCAAATTCACATATTACATTGTATGTCCAAACATGACCACTATTTTGATTGTTGACATCTTTTCCCCTTGAGTGTTTACCTTAGGTAAAATTTGCTCACCATAATGAATTATTAGAGATACATTGTTGTAGATTGAGAAAAATGATTTTAAAGGTGTTATATCAATTAACCATAATCCTGCATAAATGAACTTTGTTGTGCATAAAGTGATCAAAACTACTCAATTGGCATCTTTAATCTTTTACATTTACTTTTTGGGGAAAAAGTACGAAATAATAAACAATGAAAAGAAATCTTAATTTCCTCAAATCTCTTGCGTTTTAACATGAACAACTTTGGCAACTTAAAATCATGCTAAGATCGATTGGAAATTGTTCTCTTTAGCTAAAAACCACAGGAAAAATAACTGTAAAACAAGAAAAACATCTAATTTTATCATAATAATAAAAGACCATACATATGAGTACAGATTCACCGATCTCAGACCAGACTATGGATCCCCTATGATACCCATATTGGTTTTATTTATTTTAGCCTTACTAATCTAAGCAAGAGATGTGTCCATTGGTCTGTCAAAACTTTAGGTATTTGTTTGAGTCAAACTATGGGTATCTTGAAATATTTCTCTTGTATGGCTGACTTCAAGATAACAAGAGTAGACTGTAGTTCTGAAAAATTGCCAATAATAAGAACTACCACCTCGCACAATATTCTTGCTGACAAAGTCAGTATCAAAAACAAAAATGCCATTATTCTATATAAGTATTGATTTAACTAATTAGCTGTTTTATTGCAGGGTCAGTATTATCCTTCCTTCCTTCTATGTCCAGAGACTTACACATGGCAGCCTATAGAGAAATGTAGACCTAAACTTGACCAGAACAGATATTCAAGATTGGCTCCAGATGGAGTTGGTAGGTTTTATAGGATACAAAATAAAAAAAAAAATTCTTGTAGGAAAAACTTTAAATGATAAAAGGATTAATTTGACTGAAGTATTAAAGCAGTGTTGTGTTTGATAACTTTGACCTTTTGACTTTTGGCCTAATTCTAAGAAAGGGACCCAGCTGGTGCAATCATTTGTTTAAATTTTAAACATTTTTGCAATTACATTTATAAATCTTAATTCCCTATTTTGTTTGTATTTTTCGTAAAAATGTGTTTCTGCAAAATATGGTGTCATGCTGAATTTTTTATAATCAGAGTTTTCCAAATCTTTTCTCCCTGGTGTTCCTTGAAGAAAACCTGCTGGTCCTCACTATTATTTCTATTGCAAAATACCAAAATTGTGTCGGATCCATTGTAAAATTTGGTGGTCAAAACCTTTGGACCACCACTTTTCGAGAACTTTATCTTCAAGTATTGTCTAATAACCTATTAAGCTAATGGATGCAATTTACAAAATGGCCACACTCAAATGGATACTTCAGAAGAAGTTGCTAATATTGATAACATTGCTGTTAGAGCAGGGTGTTCCAGGGGTTGGAACCCCCTTTTTTTTGAAGATCAATGCTTTAAATGTGGACGTATGCTTGGAACCCCTTCTTTATGCTGGATTTGAACCCCCAGTTTTAAAAATGACTGTATCCGCCCCTGAATACCCAATTGATATTTCAGCAGAGCCTCCCCTTATGGTTTTTGTAATATGTCTACATCAATAAAACTCATTGCATTGAAACAAAGAATTTTGTTATTTTGCTTTTTTCTTGAAATTTATAATAGATAGAGTTCCTCTTGTTTACATTTTTAATTATCAATGAACAAATTTTGAGTCAAGAGTATGAGTGAAGTAAAACGAGTAATATTTTTTTTCAGAGGATGAAAATCTAAATGTACCAGATGACAAGATTACAGTTCTTTATATGAGGCAGTTGATGAACTATGCTATATATACACAACTTAATCCTAAGGCCAAAGATGCTAAAGCTGTTAAAAAGTACTCGCAACTCGTTGGGAAAAAAGTTGCTCCAAATATGATGTTATTCAGATCAGGTTAAAAAAATCCCCCAAATTTATCTGTCAGGTTTTTGTTTACTCACATTCGTAGTGTCAGATGATTGGGATTACCATCAAAGAAAACCATGTGCAGTTTTTGTGAGAAGAATGATCAAAGAAGCATTTAAAAGAAATGTCAGGATACCTGTTTTTGTTCTCACAATATTCTTAAGGACATTCAAATACAGTTTTGATGCACATGGTTTATTTACAAAATTTGCATGCAAGCTATTTTTCATCTAGTAAATTCAAATATGTAATTAACAGTATAAATGGGATCAAAATTTAAGAAATTTACTTAAAATTTCAGTTTCTTGGATATTTCTATCCTTTGGACAGACATACCTAATGTTTTTGTTTCAAAAGATAGACACAAGTGGATTTTTGTTAAAACATTAGGAATACCTCATTTACATATTACTAAGTATACTCTAAATTTGTGTAAAAATTCCTTTAAAATAGTTCATTCTTATTAAAGTTTAATGAGTTTAGAAAAAAAACAGCATTTTTTGCTGTATATTTATCTATTTTAAAAAAAAAATCATTTGTGATTTGTTCATAAAATTGATACAAATAATCTTCATACATAATCAAACCAGATGTCACGTTTTAAAAAGAGGGGTCCATGTTCTTGTTTTCTAGCTAATGATTGAAATCTGTCGAAAATGCATATTTTCCGAATACATCATATGATGTCGCGAAAAATAACATTTTACATTAAAGATGTTATTTCCTGCCCCTGTAACAGTATCATTTGCCCTTAAGAAGTAATATCTGGCAACTTATGTCCCTTTATAACGTTATATGCAAGCCAGGCATCATCTGTGTCCTTCGGACACATTCTGCATTTATTTATATGTATTATTTTGTGATTCTTAACAGACTTAAACTTTAGATGAAATTATTCCTCAAGTTTGCTACACATCTTTACATCAGTTTAAACTTTAATTACATTTAAAAAAATTTCCTCTTTCCTCTTTTTATTGGAGGGAGGTTTCAGATGCATTTTTTTAGCATATATGTTACTGATAAATGCAAATTTCTGCATATTTCATACTGATGAAAATGTATTGCCTAATTCAAAAGTAAAAAAAAAATATATGTCATATCACACTCACGACTCTATTATATCAACCCTCAACTAGTACAGGCTGCTAATTGAGCTGAGATATCGGGCGGATATTATATTGTGTATACAAAACCTTTATTAAAATTACATATGTGTGTAATTTTGTATTCTTCAGCCATGTGAAAGTAAAAGTTGTCAGACACAAAACTGTTACAAGTATTGTTAAGTGTAATTTTCTCAATTTAATACATTAAATATAAAAAAGCTTGCCTTCACCAGTAAAGTGTATTCAATAAATAAAGACAAAAAATAATGGTATATCTCTATAAAGAAAATAAATTTCTGATACATACTGATATAAAAAAAGAAGATGTGGTATGATTGCCAATGAGACAACTCTCCACAAGAGACCAAATGACACAGTAATTAACAACTATAGGTCACCGTACGGCCTTCAACAATGAGCAAAACCCATAGCACACAGTCAGCTATAAAAGGCCCCGAAATAACAATGTAAAACAATTCAAACGAAAAAACTAACCGCCTAATTTATGTACAAAAAATGAACGAAAAACAAATATGTAACACATAAACAAACAACAACAACAACTGAATTACAGGCTCCTGACTTGGGACAGGCACATACATACAGAATGTGGTGGGGTTAAACATGTTAGCGGGATCCCAACCCTCCCCTAACCTGGGACAGTGGTGTATGTTATGGATTTTTTGCTGTTATTGATTCTTAGGGGGGAATATTTTTATAGTTATGTAGGTTAAAGACTTTTCATGATGTAATATAATTATTTTCATTTGTTTACATTGTTCTACAGCCATGTGAAAGTTGTGTGACACAGAACTGTAACGAGTATTAATATATGTACTTTTTAAATAATTTATTTAATCTTTTATGTTCATTTGATTTTGAATGATCATACCTATTTAACCCTTTGACCGCAACGTTTTTACAATGAGTGTCTTGTTGTATGTGGTATTATTTGATCAAGGTTGTGCAAAGAGTTTCAGAAAACCTTGTCAAATTGTATTTTTTTAAGTCATATCTGTCAATATGAGGTTATACTGTTATTTTTTTGAATTTTAAAGATAATAGAATATATATTATAATAAGTATGCAAGATGTAAAAGTTTGTAAAAGTTTGTAATGCTTTTGTTTGTTTGGAAAAAATGGCCATTTTGCACATACTTTTCTATCAAAGTATATGGTCTTACACAGGAAGATATTTAACAAACTTTTACATCTAAAGTATACTAAATCTTGTAGCAAAACACATTTTTGGTGAAAGCATTGCCTCTTTATTTAAATATTAATGACAAGATATGAAAATGAGGCTATTTTACACAGTTTCCGCCTCTTTGCACAAATTGCCAGAAGTTTGAGACCTGAATACAGATGAAAGACAAAATGAAAAAAAAATATATATACTGATGATTGACAGACTATGTCTTATGAACATCTGAATTTGGTATGCTATCTGGCAGATATATAATAAATTTTGATTTTCAAATTCAGGGGGCCAAAAAAGTGGCCTTATTATACCTGTCCCTTAACAGAAAAAATGTATACTTTCAATCATGCATGTAAGAACCACTAACCATTAGGCTGATGGTACTCTCAGGAATAAATAACCTACCAGTAGCTGTGCCAATCCAGTTGTAGTATTAAAAACGAAATACACATTATTATTGATACCAATTCCATGCACACAACATTTTTTTCTGGAATAAGAATGATAATACCCATGTTTTTTACTTCGTCATGTGAAACTGCCTCTAAGAAATTTTAGGTCTGTTATATATGTAGTTAGCCAGATTTTTAAGATATATTTGTGATGGCAGAAATATTATGTTTTAAGGAATGCTTGATTGAAATAAGCAAATCAATCCTGATTTGATGTTATATCATTATTTTTATAAGTCAAATGTATTCTTGTTGACGGTTTTGTTATGTTTTTACTTTTTTCCCCCAAAGATATTATTTATTAACAACTAACATTACATTTCAAACTGTGCAATTGTGATAAAACATGTTTTGTTATTAAAGCATACTTTTATAAAGTTTTGAGGTTTTTTTTTTGCGTTCACATTCACAGACCTGCCAACTTTCATGATTGATGGGGGGTTCCCCCATGAGAGGTGTTGCCCTTAATTTTGAAATTCTTTATTATATATATACTAAACACGTCAAAACAGTCATTTGAATGAGTTAAAAGGGTATTCAAGCAAATACATATTCATTCTAACATTATAGTATTAGATTAAAAACATAAGACAATATGAGCATAAGGTCCTCTTGCTCTTAAAATCCCTCATGGATTTTGAAAAGTTGGCAAGTATGCATTCAGAAAGTTAATACTATGGTATTGCAATATAAATAAGTGCATTAAGTGACAACAATATACAAGGTGAGCTTATACTGTGACGTGCAAATGTAAGCCCCCCTTATGGAGCTACATACATGGTTAATGCATAGATTTTTTACATGTCCAATTCCTAATATTGCCTAATTTGGCCCCTCCCCCCTTTTCAAATTCTGGATCTGCATCTGATGAAAAGACTTAATGCAAGGTCACAAATCCTGGACAAAACATTTTACTAGGATGCAACTGGTATGCCATACCACATAACAAAGTGGTCCTCAGAAGAGGCTTTACCAAAGTCAAATTTTTTGGTAATCAAATTGATCCATTGTTGATTTAATAGCATAAGGGGTAGTCATAAATGGCAAAGAAATACTATGACTGTACAACTGAACATTTTGGGGGATATGGTAATGGTGTCCCTCCTTCCATTTGCCATTTGTCTATCCATTGGAACCACATCAATACTCAGAGACTGTTTGACATTAAGCTTTCATACTTGGTAATTGAAGACCCATTGGTGGCCTTCGGCTGTTGTCTGCTCTATGGTCGGGTTGTTGTCTCTTTGACACATTCCCCATTTCCATTCTCAATTTTATTGGTAAGATTATTTGTCGTCACATTCTCTTGACTGTATGTCATCATATTTGCCTGACTGCTGTGCCGTCATAAATATGACACCTTGTGAATGCAACCCCTCCGAGTCCATTTTACAGAAAGCTCTCAAACTCTGTAGGATTGTTTGGTATCTTGTTTAATTTGTGTTTACTTTTGAATTTGCCTTCATTCTACCAATTTGGATAATACCATGTATATCAATGAGTCCATTTTAAATGAATAGAAAACATAATATAATGGCTCAAAGCATCATAAAATTTGTGACCATATATATCTAAGTGCGGTTCCAATTCAAAGTTAGGATATTGAGTTATTATCAGGAGTCCGTTTCACAAAAATACTTACAACAAAAATTGATCTCAAGTCATGAACAATTCAGTATACTTACGACCAATCTTTAATAGTCCTAAGTTTTTTTGTGAAACCGACTCCTGGGGCATAATATTAACTTGTACTATTACCAAGTTTTCTTCTAGAAACTGCTTTTTGCACAAATGTCAGTCTTTTTTAATATCTGTTACGTTGACCTTAGAGTTGTTGACCTCAAAATTAATATAAACCATGTCATTATTACAAATGTATATACCATGTGAACATATAGGTAAGTTTTGTTTCAATCTCAAATAAGATTCTTTGGTTATTATCCATAAATACTTTTCCTGCACTAAATTCAGTCTATTTTCCATGACTTTGACCTTCATTCTGGATGTATTTATGCAAATGTCAACATAAATATTTCTCTCATTTAAAGTGACTTCATTTCCAAATTGAGTTCGAATCCTAATTTAATCATGGAAGAAAAGGGGTTATTATAACTCTAGAAAGAAGTTTGGTTCCAACATTAAGAAAGGGTTCAAAATTGTCTTGAAAACCATTTTCTGATCTGACTATTATATAATAATTTTTAATATGTGTGTCCTTGACCTTTGACTTGTCACCTTCATAATCAGAATTGATATTCCTCTCATTATATATGTCCATATATCCAAGTGGGATTTCAATTCCAGGGAAGATTTTGGAATGATCCTCTGAAACCCTTCATCTGCACTAATTTGGGTATATTTTTAGCCTTCAAAAATTTGACCTCAGAATCAATAGGAATCTATATATTCATGTGCAAACACATGAAAATGATACTGGAGTTTGATATAAACAGGAAGTAGAAATTGAAAGAAAATAATTACAATGTTTAGTTGAGAATCATAAGGATAACACACATTTTTATGCCCCCGCCATAGAGGAGGGGGCATTAAGTTTTACCCTTGTCCGTCTGTACGTACATACGTACGTATGACCCAAAATTGGTTTCCGTTCTCTAACTTGAGTTTGCTTATCCAAATGTTATGAAACTTATACACAATGCTAATTACCACAAAATACAGATAAAGTTTGAATTTTGGTGGCGTCACTTTAACCGTTCTAGAGTTATGCCCCTTTATTAATGTAAAAATTCCAAAATTTTTAGTTTCCGTTCTATTACTTAAGTTTGCCTCTACCAAATGTTATGAAACTTATAAACAATGCCTATTACGACAAAACACAGATCAAGTTTGAATTTTGGTGGGGTCACTTTAACCATTCTCGAGTTATGCCCCTTTATAAATGGAAAAAAAATGCAAATTTTTAGTTTCCGTTCTCTTACTTAAGTTGCCTCAACCAAATGTTATGTAACTTATACACAATGCTCGTTACCACAAAACACAGATCAAGTTGAATTTTGGTGGCGTCACTTTAACCTTTATCTAGTTATGCCCTTTTATAAATCGAAAAATTGCTAAATTTTTAGTCTCCGTTCTGTAACTTAAAGGGAAAATTCGCGATTTTTTACTTATCATCTTATTATGTTCATAATACCATAAAAAACATATTCACCAAGTCTTATCTGGATATGAACAATAATAAAGAAGAAAATTGGGAATTATTAATTTTATTTATTCGAACTTCCTGACATCTGTGACGTAGTTTAAGTCTTTTTGCATGCCGGGAGTGGATTAATCTCATTTTAAGTCTTGTTCGTTAATCATCTTATAACGCGATTTAAAGCGCATCGACGACTTTTGGCGTAGCTATTAACCAACTAATAATTCAGAAAGAAAAGTGATCAGCCGTGCAACTTTTAAAATTAAAATGCACCTTTTATATTTTAAGGATTTCTGATATGATTATACTAATAAAAGTAAATCATACAATAGAATGTTTTTATGATTTTTTTTTTCGACGGATATGTTGAACAAACATATATAACTGTAATAAAAATGCATGTTTGTATTCTCACCTATTACTTCAGTCGAGGATTTGTCTTACTATACAAATCCTTGCTTCAGTCTAGTACTGTGTAAATACAATGCATGTGTATTATACTGACACCACCTGGTAAAGGCGTGGTTAAATTCACGGTTATTAAAAGATTAGCATTATGTAATTTTAGTCTTTTGATCTTCACAAGAGTTTTGTGTGGCCTCAAGGGTTCACCGGTGTAAGTATGAAAAACATGGGGGAAAAAAGGATAAGACAGAAGTGCGGGTTTGAGACAGGATATTTTTTTTTATTATTTGGGGAGGAATATGGTGGCAAAATAACTGAATCGCCGTTTTATATTTTTTAATATTTTGCGTTAGCTCAATTTTTTAATAAATAAGTGATCATTTTGTTGTAACATCGAAATTCTGAATTACTTTCAATTAAATAATTTTATAGATAAAAATGGCTCACGAAAACGAGCGTATAAATCAAAACTGTACTATTTCAAATTATCATCGGCAACCTTGAATATTTATTTAAATGTGCAGAGAAAATTATCAGTTGCATTAATATAGTTTGGTCCGTCCAAAGCGATCTACATTTACCTAATCTGGAATGCCCTGATTAAAATATTCTAAATCTCACAACGTATAAATTCTTTAGCTATTTGACCAACGATGTTTTAAAAAATTAACAGAATCAATCTAACGTCAACTTTCCTTTTTTGAATGGAGAAAGACCGGCGGAATCAATTTTCAATGTGCTTTATATCTTGTACCTTTGCAAGACTTATCATTCATTCATAAACCCACTCTAAACCAGAGACATATATACGTCCGTTTAAACTGACAAGAAAACTCCTAAAACGGACAAGCAGTATATTCCTTAAATTTCTGTGATTTAATACCAAGAAAGAAAAAAATCCCGAAATTAATTTGATCATACTCAATATTTTTCCTGGAAAATATTCACATCCTCATTCGGTCTGAAAAAAAAGATAAGAATTTGGTATACAGAACATGCCGCGAGAAGTGTGAATGTCATAAAACCTAATTGTTATATCAGAAACCATTATAAATGTGAACCTGTATACGTAAGACCTCATGGAACGTCACCTAAGATCACCTAACCACATACAGGTAATATACAAGTAGCTCTGTTAAACCCGGAAATGTCAAGGTTAATCACTACTGATACAGAATATACCAATGCAACGAAAATTCTGATGATTGTGAAGCATGACCATTCATTATTTTAGAGGCGTCTTAGGTGGGGGATTGCCGGAACGATTTAATTTAAATTCTGACTAGATTTTTTTTTTCTTCTCAATTTAAATTACTGAACTAAAAAAAAGAAGAAAACTACGCTCAAGAACAGAATTCTTCTTGTAAATTCATAAATACACCGTTCCTATTTTGTAACTTTCGATAGACATGTACTCCAAACCCCCCCCCCCCCCTTCCCCAAACCTGGGAACAGTATATCTTACAATGTAAATAACAAAAAAAGAGAAAAAGAAAGACATGAACGGTAAATCACATCAGATTCAGATATTTATATAGTTGATTGTCGTTAGCTAGAGATGTATACATGTCTCTGCGTTAACTTATAAAAATAACAGGAAAGTATAAACTTGAAATAGATTTATGATGAATACTTTGCAACTGCGACAACCCTTTTTATCACAGCGTACATGCATGTATTTAAATGACTGTCCGTTATTTCGATTAAGAATGACAATCGTACGTAAAATCCTATAGTTCATGGTGAAACTTTTTGTACCAGATATGCGACTTTTCGTATTTATATTTTCTCTTATATTACTCTCATTTGATATTTTATG